ACAGTTGCAATTGCGGGCCATTGAGAGACATGCAACTCACCCCTGACCAGACAAAACACCATATAGTTGCAGTTGCGTCGAAGACATGCAATTGCAATCGGGGATGACACTTGCAGTTGCGGCCTAGTGGGAGACATGCAACTCACCCCTGTCTAGGGGCGACACTTGCAGTTGTGACCTCATGGGAGACATGCAACTCACCACTACCGGACAAAACACTACATAGTTGTACTTGTGTCGAAGACATGCAGTTGCAGTAGGGGCGACACCTGCAGTTGTGACCTAGTGGGGACATGCAACTCACCCCTGACTGAACAAAACACCACATAGTTACAGTTGTGTCAAAGACATGCAGTTGCGGGTGGGGTGACACTTGAAGTTGCAGCCTAGTGGGAGACATACAACTCACCTTGACCAGGGGCGACACTTGTAGTTGCGGCCTTGTGGGAAACATGCAACTCACCGCAACCGGACAAAACACCACATAGTTGCAGTTGCGTCGAAGACATGCAGTTGTAGTCGGGGGCAACACTTCCAGTTGCGACCTAGTGCGAGATATGTAACTCACCCCTGACTGAACAAAATACCACTAGTTGCAGTTGTGTCGAAGACATGCAATTGCAGCTGGGCCGACACTTGTAGTTGCGGCCTAGTGGGAGACATGCAACTCGCTCTTGACCAGACAAAACACCACATAGTTGTAGTTGTGTCGAGGACATGTAGTTGCAGTCGGGGGTGACACTTGCAGTTGCGGCGACATGGAGACATGCAACTCACCACTACCGGACAAAACACCACATAGTTGTACTTTTGTTGAAGACATGCAGTTGTTGTCGGGGCGACACTTCCAGCTGTGGCCTAGTGGGAGACATGCAACTCACCTCTGACCGAACAAAACATCACATAGTTACAGTTGCATCGAAGACATGTAGTTGCAATCGGGGGAAGGGGCATTTGAAATTGCGGCGTAGTGGCATACATGCAACTGCAACCTTTCCCTAACAACACATCACCGAGTTGCAATCAGGAGTGACACTTGCAGTTGTCGGGGCATGACAATTGTAGTTGTGTGCCTAGTGATAGACATGCAACCACCGTTCCATCGATAAAACACCACCTAATTGAAGTCGCGTTGAGAACATGCAGTTGAAGTTGGAGCGACACTTTGAAGTTCATGCCTATTGGCGAGCATGCAAAAGGCCCCATTCCCCTAATAAAACACCACAATCTTACAGTCTATGTAATAATATGATGACTAGAGAGTGAAAAAAAGCAGGCAACGATGTACCAGGCCATCAACATAACACACATGTCAACCACACACAAAACTTGATGTCCAAAATCCATAGCTACCAAAGCGAATGAGATCTAACTAATTCTCTATCGATCGAGAAAAATGACAAATAAAAAATAGCCCAAGAAAAAAAAGCTATCTAAAAAGAAAAAATTGAAAAAAAATTGAGAAAAAAAGAAAAAATAATAAAATAAAATAAATGAAAATAAAAAAGAAGGAAAATGAAATAAAAAATAAGGGCAACAAAAGAAGCCTACAACCTTATCCCGCCCGTGCTAAAAAAGAGTGAAGACGGCTTATGATGCCTAGCTGCACCGCTCGCACGACGGAACTAAGTGTTACGTGACCAAATCCAAGAATTGCAATGTGTTTTTGTCAGACGGCGAAGGACGTGAATGAGATATATTATTTTTCATAAATTAGAATAATATGCAACTGAAAAACTGAAAAATAAAATAAAGAAACAGGGAAAAAATATTACAAGAAAAGATGAAGGAAAACAAAACTATAAAAGAAAATGGGACAAACAAATGGATCAAGGAAAATGCCAAATAACCTGGCAAAAGAAACTAACAAAAAATGGAGACGAGTAAAAAAAAGGTTGGATTGCTTGGTTTCGAATGTAGCCAGGTGAAAGAGACACACTGGAATGGAGGGGTGTGGAAGATGCCAAGCCTACCACGCATACCTGCACCTTTCACACAAAAAAAAAGAAAGAAAGAAAAAGCACTACACATGCCGGCTGTATTCTTGCACGGGCCTATTTCAGAAGAAACAAACAGCATGCACAGATTTTGAAGCCCATAGTGATCTAACGCGGGGGGTGGGGGCCGACTGAGACTTCGTAAAAAATCAGTCGACTGATTTTTAGCCCCTCCGTAATTTTTTATCTGAACTTTGATAGGAACTTGCGTGCAGGTTCATCCACGGCGACTTGTCTAGGCTTTGTTCTGACGTCCGATCACATGGATTGGTCGGTGCATCACTAAAATAGGATGATTTGACGCGGTCCACAGTCCAAATTCATTTCATCTGCTTAAAGACAGACTCTTAGCAGCAGAAGATATAACTTCCAAGTCGCCAATCTTGACTTTCAACCTGTTCTTGGAAATTCTGCAACCGAGACGGCAGAGAGAGGCAGGTGACTGGTTAGGTGAACGTCCTGGCAGCGGCGGTCCTGGCTAGCCGACGATGGCTTCCCGGCGTGTGCTGATGCTCCTCGCCGTCGTCGCCTCGCTGTGCCGCGCGGCGGTTGGTCAGGGTGCCAAGCCCCTGCTGCCGGGCGGGCCAAGCTGCTCGACTGCTGATAACTACACCGACGGCAGCCCGTACAAGAGGAACCTCGACGAGCTCCTCGCCGGCCTCCCCGCGGCCGCCGGGGGCAATGGCTGGTTCTACAACGGCACGGCTGGGGCGCCGGGGACGGCCGACCAGGTCTTCGGCCTCATCATGTGCTACGCCGACCGCAACGCCACGCAGTGCCGGGAGTGCCTGGCCGGCGCTCCCGCGGGGATCACCACGGCGTGCCCGGGGAGCCGGAGCGTGCGCGCGGCCTACGACGCGTGCGTGCTCCGGTACTCGCCGCCGCCCTCCTTCTTCTCCACCGCCGACCTCGCCGTGAATTTCTTCGTGCGCGCCGTCGCCTTCGCCGTTGACCCCGACAAGATGCTCAACGCGTGGCTCACTCTCATGACGGACCTCACGGGGCGCGCCGCGAGCTCGCCGTCGCGGGTGGCGAACGCGACCACGCCGTACGACGGCGACCCGGCGAGGCTGGTGTACGGGCTGGCGCAGTGCACCAGGGACCTCAACGCCACCGAGTGCACCAGGTGCCTTGTCTCGGTGGTCGGGCAGCTCAGGAGGCGTTTCACGAACGAGACCGGCGGCGCAATCAAGGCGTTCAGCTGCTACGTCAGGTACGAGCTTGGTGCTTTCGACATCACCCTCCCGCCTGAACCGCCGTCCTCTCCACAGCCGGGAGGATCATCGTCTTCCTCAAGAACAGCGCTTGTGGTCGGCCTCTCCGTTGGTTCTGTAGCGCTGTTGGTCATTCTGGGCTTGATCTGCCTCTTTCTACGGCGGCGACGGACGAAGCAAGCTAAAATGCTTGAGCAGCAGCTGGAAGAGGGCAGCTTCTTCGACGGCGACGACCCGGCCATGGAAGACGATTTCGAGAAAGGGACCGGGCCGAAGCGGTTTCGCTACGGCGAGCTGGCCATCGCCACCGACAACTTCTCCGACGAGAAGAAGCTCGGGGAAGGAGGATTCGGCTCGGTTTACAGAGGACACCTCAAGGAAATGAAGCTTGATGTGGCCATCAAGAGAGTCTCCAAAGGGTCCAAGCAGGGGAGGAAGGAGTACGCCTCGGAGGTGCGGATCATAAGCCGGCTCCGGCACCGGAACCTGGTGCAGCTCATCGGGTGGTGCCACGGCGGCGGCGAGCTGCTCCTCGTCTACGAGCTGATGCCCAACGGCAGCCTCGACACGCACCTCTACGGCCGCAGCAACGCCGCCGTGCTCCCATGGCCGGTCAGGCACGAGATCGTGCTGGGACTCGGCTCTGCCCTCCTGTACCTTCACCAGGAGTGGGAGCAGTGCGTGCTCCACAGGGACATCAAGCCAAGCAACGTCATGCTGGACGCCTCCTTCGCCGCCAAGCTCGGCGACTTCGGGCTCGCCAGGCTCGTCGACCATGGCCGAGGATCGCACACCACGGTGCTCGCCGGCACGATGGGGTACATGGACCCGGAATGCATGATCACCGGCAAGACCAACGCCGAGTCAGATGTCTACAGCCTCGGCGTCGTCCTCCTTGAGATCGCCTGCGGCAGGCGCCCTCTGGTGGTTATTGCTGAGCACGAGGACGACACGATGCACCTGACTCAATGGGTCTGGGACTGGTACGGCAGGGGAAGCATCCTCGACGCCGCCGACGAGCGGCTGCAGGGGGAATTCGACGGCAAGGAGATGGAGTGCGTGATGGTCGTCGGGCTCTGGTGTGCTCACCCGGATCGGAGCCTGAGGCCGACGATCAGGCAGGCCGTCAACGCGCTGCGGTTCGAGGCGCCGCTGCCCAGCCTCCCGTCGAGGATGCCGGTGGCGACCTTCATGCCGCAGGTCGGTACTTTCACCACATCTTCGGCTGCCACAGGCGGCACCAGCAGCACTGGCACATCTTCAGTTACAACGGGCGTCGGCAGCAGCAGCACTGGCACTTCTTCAGCTGCAACGGGCGTCAGCAGCAGCAGCGCCGGCACCACCCTAACAGCAAGCTCGACTGAGACATCCTCCCTGCTGAAATGAGTAGCAGATCAACATGTTCTTTTGCATCAGATGATTTTGACAATTTTTGTACAGGTGTATCGTAGATTCATAGTGAGACAGAATTTGATTCGTATAGAAGCTAGTACAAAAAAACAGCTGCAGAAAGCACATCACGTCTAAATACTGGTCGCGGAATTTTGTTATTTATTATCCCCCTCGGCGCCGGAAAGAGATTTAAGGAAGGTGGATCATCAACTATTGATTCACACAGTATGTATTCAATTTTTCTCTGTTTCGATAATTTACATTGAAAACGCCGAACAGCATCGCTTCCACAACCTTACACCCACCCATACTCTTCAGTTTCCTTTGCCTTCTGACCTTCATACATCGCTGAGAAGTGGGGGTACAAAAGATGGTCCTCCATACACGGCGCGTGAGACTAAACAGCAGTAGCAACTGGAGTGTCGGGGTGAGCACCCCATTCAGTCCATGATCCATCGTACACGGCAACATCAGTTTTGCCGAGGCGGTGAAGGCCCTAAAACGGGAAAGTAAGCTTTAGCAACACAAATTAGCATCGTCAAAATAAATCTTGCGATCTCAAACCCCAGAGAAACTTACCAAAGCTAATACACATGCTGTCACACCAGTGCCGCAAGAGGTCACAATGGGTTGATCAAGTGATATACCTGATTCAAAACCACACCAGAACAATGAGAAAAAAACTGGAAATACTATGGCCAATTGGCCATAGTTCATTTCTACACTAAATACCACTAAAACATGCATAAACATGAGCCGCCGGGTACCACACACAATTATTTATGCTGGACATTTGAAGAAAACCATCAAGCTTTGCAATAACACAAATAAGAAGCTATGCTAACATTTGGAATGACACAATATTAGTTTAGCAGTTAACATGCACAGATAATAATTTCAGAAAGGGTGAGAAAAAGACTTCCAACCCGGACAAACACAGCCTGGAGGGCATCACTAGCTGGAGGAAGTGTTCTGAAAATTTACATGGATAAAGTACATACCTTCTTGCTCGAATCGCTTACGGAGCTCATCTGCAGGCAATAGCTTCTGTGTACTGTCAAGCACCTGCAGAAAGTCAATGGAGACTTAGCAACATCTATGCACAATGCAAATTTAACCAAAGTATCATGTTCAAAATAAGAGTACAAAACTGAATCGATTGTTACAAGTTTCAACCTGAGGAAAAGGAACGCATTTGCTCCCAGGCACATGCCCGCTTCTTATTCCCTTGCGTGGCTCTGGAACTGCACCATCAAATCTGGCGTACATTGCATGTCAGAGTATGTAACTGATAGGCATCACATACAGCTCAATGAAGCATTTCACCTTTTTCAGGAGGTAACAAACAAGAAGCACAAGTCGATATCATAAACCACATCAAGTATTACAGTTGGACAGGGCAAGACAACAAAACTATACTCAAAATGCAAAAGAACTATGCCTGCTTATTGACAAATAAATATTCTAGACTTCGAACCAGCCTTCTTGCAGAAATATTATGCCAGGTAAGGCTGTCTATAAATTCCCTTCCCCAGACCCCACCTTGTGTGGGAGCTTTCGGCACTCGGTACGCCCTAGAAGGATAGTATGATGAGTCTGACTATGAAGATTATCCAAATAATTTTGTGCTGAATATAGCCACTTATTGAAGGGAGCCTTGGCGCAGTGGTAAAGCTGCTGCCTTGTGACCATGAGGTCACGGGTTCAGTCCCGGAAATAGCCTCTTACAGAAATGTAGGGAAAGGCTGCGTACAATACACCCAAAGTGGTCGGAACCTTCCCCGGACCCTGCGCAAGCGGGAGCTACACGCAACGGGCTGCCCTTTTGAATATAGCCACTTATTAGGGTCACTTTGTCATTTCTATGAGGTGCATTACAGTGCCACAGTATGCAATTATTTAGTTCCTGAATGTCTACCAAAATCAAAGATTTTTCTGTTGCAGCTCCGGGAAAAGAAAAAACATTTTAACATGTTTGATAGTTACCACATACCAGATAAAACAGAACTGCCAATTAAAAGCCAGCATGATAAATATACAAGCCTTAAAAGAATAAAGATGAAGGACAAGACTATGTACAGAATAAAGAATAAAGTATAATTTTCCAGAATAAAATATTAGCATTACCTAGGCTTCCCTCGAGCATCTATAAGTTGATGTGTCTGGGTCTCGATGTTCTCTTTCACCTGAGCAAATTATGTACATCAGTTATATCCAACATGCAGTATGAATTTAGTGAATGGCAACACAGTGGAAAATAACACCACTAACCTGACCAAGATTCCAAAGAAGATGAGGCTGCAACTTCGCTTCAAATGTGGTGGGACCAACCTACATCGAACAGATAAATGTAAGTTCTTTTATATAACTAAAAATGAAGAATAGAACCCATTACAACAGCTAATAATTACTTAGGTATCGCAATTAAGAGGTTGGTAAATCAGTAGTACTAGTAAGACTCACTGAGATTCCAGATGCAGTATTGCCAAAACAAAAAGGAGAGGTGTAAGACAATTTACCGATTGCCCCTGATAAACTTTCTCGATTGCTTCACTAGCAGCACTGGCTTTTAAGATAGCATCACTAGAGGCACTTGATTCAACATCATACCCAGAAGCACGCCATTGGGGCAAACCTCCATCCAAAACCCAAACTTTGTCGTGTCCATAAGCACGAAACATCCTGTTATCAACGTAACAAACATCACGCACATGCAGTTAAGTACAAAACCTTTATAAATGAAGCATATCGCACATGCACTGGTAACAAAACTATAATCATCTAAGAATAACAGAAAACAAGAATTGTCTCTTGTTTCTCACGGAATTCTAGTCTATCTTGTTTTGCCTGGTTCTGAGGAAGGAAAAAAAAGTAAACTTACCACCAAACACGAGCAGCGCTAAATAGACCCTTTCCATCGTAAACTACTATTCCATCTTTGTTGTAGATGCCAAGAGAAGACACAGCGGCGGAAAATGCTTTTTCAGATGGCAGCATGTGTGGCAGCTGACTCAAAAAACAATACATTCAGTTCATGTGAAGGTTGCAGACAGGAACGGGAAGAACATAGAAAACATGAATAGAAACAAAAACGTTTGTGCTATCACACCAAGTATGCTAAGCTCGCTTGTGTAGCTATAAGAAACCAAGCTTCACTAACTTGGTGACTTTAAATCATCAAGTAATACGGGGTTAAAAATAGGAATCGCCAGATCACAACTCAAACAAAGAAAAAGCGCTCTGAGTGTGTTCACTGTTTTTTGGTATGGAGATTGCTGTTTTGGTGCCCCTTTTTCCTGAACTTTTACTTCTGGAGTTGGCTACTGTTTTAGCTGCTGATATGCAAGAGAATAGCACTTCCAGTGTCATCCTCTGCAAATGTTATGTATCCACATGGACTGATGTATCGAGTCAGATGTTTTGGTTCAATCTATTAATTGAACAGGGGCTGTCAACATGCCCTTGATAAAAAGTGAACTGAGGAGACTCGGTTAATTCTCTACCTTGTGTTCTGGCCTACTATTGAAATGGATAATGCACAGCAACGCTGTGAGTATCTATGGTAAGAGATATCAATAAAGAAGTAGAGAAAAGCACAAATGTCACAAGTAAAGAAATGCAGAGTAATATAAACGAACAAAGTTCATACAACTAATCTGCAATTCACGAGCAGAACTTACACTAGATGCTCGAAATGCACAGTGCTGTAACATGTAGAGAACTAACGAAGTTCATACGACTAATTTGTAATTTATAAGCAGAACTTACATTAGATGCTCTGTCAGATATTCCATCAACATCAAAGAATAAAGCACCAGGGATATGAGCCACCTAGGAGAAATTGAAGTAAATATTAGGATCTTTAAATAAATAAACAACGATAGTAAGCATATAGAGCCATCAGCTAAGTGCAATGACATAACACTGAGCTGTAAAAAGTTTGAAATTTCAAACTATGAACATAACACATGTAACCATTACCTGGTACTCCTGAAGTGGATTCCTTTGTTCTGCAGGCATATACCAAGAGGCATCAAGTACCTAGACAAAAAAGTAAGAGCATAATAAGATACAATGTATGCCGGTGGACATATTTAACAGCAACAAAACTATCCTATGAATAGCATAGTTAAATATAATTCCTCCTAGTAGTAGTATCTGTTCTATTATTCATAGTGATGAGAGCCCAAGACTATGTCAATAATGTCAAGAAAGAAAAGGCCTCCAAAATGTACCATTTTTTCAGTAGCAAGATTTTCTTTTCGGAAATAGGTTTATCCGAGGGGCGTTGACTTTCGTCACAAACTGTAATAGAGGCACTTCATTTGTTTTTAAAAAGACTTGAGATTACTACTGGTGCTAAAACAAAGCCCACCAAAATCCTCTTTCAGCTAAAAGATCAATTCACGTACTAGCTAGCATCACTAGTTAAGCAAACAGATTTATCACTTGTAGCAACGCTGAACAAATTGCCACGGCAGCAGAACCCCAGACATATGAGTACCCTGTCTTAAATCTAGACTACACTAACTAATTGTACAACTGCCAATCAGATTTCAGAGGGCAGGCGCAGCAGAACAGCATGTGGTACCTTCACATCAGGGTCCCTGAGGTTGGCGTGGAGCCACTCAGCGGACACGACAGGCTCGGTCCGCGGCACCGCGTCGACGACGCCCGACGCGGCGGCGGCCTCCGAGACGGCCGATGACGTGGCGTTGAAGCGCGCCGCGATCCCGAACCGCGTCATCGACGGCGACAGCGACGCCCCGCAGCCGACCTCCGCCGCGCGCGCCCATCCGACCCTGCCCTGCAAGTTACCAAAAGACGAGCACCGTGAGACCTGGCGGATCGAGGCGGGGGTTGCAGCGGCAGGGTTACGACCGCGGGGAGCGTGCCGGCGGCGGTGGCGAGGAGTAGTAGGAGGAGGAGAGGAGGAAGGGGGGTTTCCTTGGGGAGGAGCCGGGCGCCGCCGCGGAGGG